AGACAGTAGTAACAGGCTTAAAAAGTAAATGAGAGTGTGTTAGAAGGAGGAGCGTGCTATGGGAATAGAAAGAAGTAGCATCGATTAACGGGAAGCAGTAGTATTGATTAAGGGCATGCTGTGGTGCAAAGGGGCACCCAGGGCTGAAAAGAAGGTGGCCATGGCCGGCCTCATTGCAAAGATACGTTAAACTGGGTGAAGGAGTGTTCAGGGAGGAGGAGGCAAATTCCAGGCAGAGGGGAGAGATAGTACAAAGGCTGGATGTGACTCAGGTGTGTGTAAGCAAGTGCACGAAACCCTGGAATGTAAATGGATGGTGAGAACCCCAAACTTGGACAGGAAGTCCAGATCGTGCTCCACAGCCAACTCAGTGTTTGTCGCCCTCCCCTCGCTGCCTGCCACTCGCCCTGCAACCATTAGTGGCAGGAGCACAGGTCTAGAAATTCAGACAGTATAAACCTTATGTTTGGGATATCATCTACAGAATAAGCAAAAGGAATTTCAGAGATTTAAAAATTGTTTTCCTTTAGGGATGCTGCTGTCTTTTTTCCTCAAGAAAATGAATATAAAATTTCATGTTTTAGTACCTGATCATAACATGCCACGCGGAAACAAGGATGAAATATTAGAGCTGTGGGAAAGTGGGGTTGGGGGAACACATGAAATAACGGAGAACAAAATATGTGTTACTATCTGAGTATGAAAACAAAATGGACCCCCACCCTCGTTTTCTTATATCTGTTTGTGGGGCATGGACATATACTAGTGGCAACCGCAAGGGAAAACCAACTAGCTTGGCTTATAGTGATCAGAGATGGGAAATCTTTTCTTAGCTAAGGCTCTAGGAGCAGAACATAATCTATGAGATTAATTCACAGCAAGATCAGGCTTTGCAGAGAAAGGTAACATCAGCGAGCTAAGGAGGGATGAATAAAATAGAAGGAGCTCTTAGATTAACCTCTATTCAGAATTGTTTGTGACACTGTGGCCCCATCAAAGCACACATAGTCTGGACTCATTGAATATGAAGTAGCAGTGGAGTACCAAGAGCATTGCTTGGCAGTCAAGATGCCTGGGTTTGAATTATGGCTTCATCTCTTAATTAGTTGTGTGATTTGGGGTAAGTTATTTTACCTCTCTTAGCCTCTATCTCCTCATCTGTAAAAGTGGGGATAATCATTGGATTGCTGTGAGATAATTAAAGTAAAGCACTCAGTCCAGTGCCTGAAACATAGTATACATTTTATTAAAATTAATTATTAGACAAATGTGATGAGAAATTACATTATTTATTAATTATTTAGAAATTAACTATTTATAAATTATTAGACAAATGTGATTGAGAAAGTGTCCTTGAAATGAGATATAGATCAGTAGTGAGTGCCTAGCTTGGAGTAGGTGTTATGAAGAGAGCACTTCATCTCAAGGAATTCAAAAGTTAATTCGGATTCTACAATGTATGAGTTAATGTGACTGATACTTTAAAAAATATTATACAGCTAAGTGAGTGTTATACATGCCCTTAAAACAGTGGGAAGGCCATTTTCCTCTGCCCTTCCCATCCCACTTTCAAAATAATATTAGATATGAACAATTGATATTTTCTAAATCTTATGTAAGATGTGAAAAAAATACTTCGAACACTGCTATTTTTATTGATCTGTAACATACACTTTTAATTAAAACCAATATGTTTAACTATGCAAACACAGCCTCTAGACCCCATTTCCAACCAGCCTGAGACCCCCTAAACACCTTCTGTATAGAAATTTTAATATACGTAGCTTCAGAAATCATGCTTGGCATAAAGTGATATACAGATACTGTGATTGAGGGATTGTGAAGTTGGACAGGGTTAATCAAGAAACCTTTCTTAGAAGAAATTAATTTGAATGAGGTTTTGAAAGAAAAATCTTGGTATGGGATTGGTGGAGAAAAGAGAAGTGGACACCTTAGATTTAACTTAGCCAAAGTAACAATCCAAAGGTTGCTTGGTGAACACGGAGGCACATCAGAAAGAGATGGATTATCTTAAGGGTTATTTCATAGAGATTATGAAGAGAGAGGCCTGATGAAACACTTCTCCCTTATATCAAAGGATGGGACTCTAGTGACCACATTATCTAGATTCAGGGTCACTATCCATTGAACAGTGCTAGATAAACACTGCCAAATATCATTTCTCTAAACCTCGTTTTTCATGTTTCCATGCTAACAGCCTTCTTCTATTGACTCAGATAGAGGCAAACATATAAACAGATAAGTGCAATACAAGCTTATACAGGAATCTTAATCTAATATCCCCTATTATTTTCCTTTGTCTTTTTGCTATACACATAACCAAACCAAAATAAACAGAAGCAAGAAATTCATTTAGTACCACCCACAACACTGATACTCTTGCTGCAATTTCTCCAGATTGCGTGAGAGGGTTTAGGAAAGGTCCTGACTTTTAACAATATCTAAGAAAGAATTTTCTTTCTTTCTTTCTTTCTTTCTTTCTTTCTTTCTTTCTTTCTTTCTTTCTTTCTTTCTTTCTTTATTTATTTATTTATTTATTTTGGTATTTTCTCCAGCATTGCTGTCTCCTTTCTTTCTCTCCAGCTTTTGGCCCTTTTCATAAGGATGGAAGTGCTACTCTTTGGTGTCTGGGCCCTGCTGGCTTTGATCCCTTGCCCAAGTGAGTCTATTTGGGAAACTTTCTTTAGCCAGTATGTGTCAGGGTACAGGTGGCTGGGCAATGAGGAAGAGGATAGGAAGTCCTGAGCAGGGCGACACTTTAGTATTCATTCACCTGGACCCTTGGGAGGGATTCCTATTCCTTGGATCACTAGGATGCATAATCTAGGTGTCGTTGGCTATACTGGGATAGCCCAAATAACGGACAGGATAATAGATCATTAGCGAAAACTATCCGCAAGAAATATATCTTCTCTGCTTGACTCCCTGCTGCCCACGACTGTCCTTTTGCTGCTCTTGAGAATATTTTTTACTTCTTTGTTTCCACCCTTTGTGTCCCGAATAAGATTTTGATAGGACAGGGCCCACAGCTCTGTTGAGAGGAGTGAGTTCTCTGAATGGCAAGAAAGGAACTGGATGGAAGCTTAGTGGGTAACATTGCACAAGAGTGTGTATTCCTAGAGGGGACTGGTATTTGGGAGATGAAGTAGAGGGCGGACTTGGAGTAGCTAAAGGGGACCTATAGCATGAGACTGAGCCCCTTACCTACATCAGGCATCTAAAATTTACCTGAGAGAGATGTTTCTCTCACTGCACCTGAAAAGATTTCCCTAACAGACTAAACTCTTAAGCATCTAAAAACATCTGTTACCTTAGCACCAAAGCAAAATGGAATAGTCTCACTTTGTGAAGAGGTAAAAAGTTCCATGGGAATTGAGTGACCCTGAGGGGTCACCTTTAGACTAGTGGTTCTCATAATTTAGTATGCATAAGGGTCACCAGGAGTGCTTGTTTTGTTTACTTGCATATTTCCAGGTCCCACCTTCACAAGTTCTTAATCATTCAGTCTGAGGTGGAGCCAGAATTTGCAGTTGTACAAACATTCCAGGTGGTTCTGGTGAAAGCACTCCTTAGGCCGTAATTTGAGAGAAACACTGCTTTGAAGTATAAGTAACAAAGCTCCTTTTCATAGGGGTCTACCATGAAGGCCCTCAGCAGTTAATCCTGGGAGCTTCCAAGATTTCTGGAAGTTTAGGAAGAGAATGGTTACCTGGGAATAATTTTTAGCAATTCCATAGTTTCCACAGTGACACTAATGGAGAAATCAGATCCCAAGAAAGATGATGAATGGAGGGAATGGTGATGGAATCAGAGTTCTAACTTGTGCATTGAGGGTCTTTTTCTTGTCTAGTCCCCTGTACCTTTGCAATCTAGGGTAGATTTCCTAGTCTCTCACCTATAACTAGATAAGTAGGCTCTGTATTTTGTTTGGGTGTTGTGGTCCTCACCACCGTCTCTGGCATATGTGGTTGATCATTTCAGGAGCCACAGAAGAGCTATTTGAGGTTTCTGTTTGGCCAGATCAGGCCCTGGTAAAGTTTGGACAGTCCCTGATGGTCAACTGCAGCACTACCTGTCCAGACCCAGGACCCAGTGGAGTTGAGACTTTCTTAAAGAAAACCCAGGTGGGCAAAGGGCCTCAGTGGAAGGAGTTTCTCCTGGAGGATGTCACAGAGAATTCCATTCTTCAGTGCTTCTTCTCTTGTGCAGGGATCCAGAAGGACACAAGCCTTGGCATCACCATGTATCGTGAGTGGGGCTGAGGTTGGGGGAGGAAGAGAAGAAGGGGGGAACATGACTACGTCTCATTTAGGGAAAAATTAGAGATTTCTTTTAGGGGAGAGAATTAGGGCCCTTAATGAAGATTACTATTTTTCCATCATATTGTAGGAATTCTAGAACCAATTCTATTTCCCTTTGTTGTAGGCTTTTAAATTAGGAGCATACCATAGAGGGCATCCAGACATCTGTGCTTGAGAATATGTTCAAATACAGGAGACATGCTAATAATGCTGACTTATAATGATAAAAAACAAACAAACAAAAAAAACATGTAAAATTCGTGCTGAATTATTTGCCACAAATTCTTAGAACAAATAGTGATTAGAGAAAGGAGGGTCTTTGTAGGCTGGGGTAGTTGAAGAGGAGGCTCTTGCGCTTCACCCCAGCAGAATGGATAGGATTTGAAGTGATGGGGATGGGCAAATAGCATTGGCAAAGATAGGCTTTAAGAATAAGTGTGATCCCTGTGGGGTTAAGAGTGCGGTTAACGAGGTTATAGTTTTGTGTGATGCTAAAGAGCTCCTGAGAAGCTGCTCACACCTCTGGTAAGAGATAAAAGTGCTCCAGAATGGTAGCAATCAAATCAAGGGACCTCCCCTCAGCAGTCACATTTCTCAGCTATGGCTTTAGCTACCTTTGATGGGCAGAAGAAGAGCCAGAAGGCTAACTGGTCCCATCTAGGACAGGGGTGGCAGAAAGCTTACACTGCTCATCTGATGGTTTAAGGGTACCAAGTCACCTTCTATCACAGGCTTCCTGTCTTCTACCACTTTTTTCTGGAGAGGTGAGTATGCTTCTCTCATCAAACCTGCCTTTTTGTCTTAAAGAGCCACCAGAGCAGGTGACGCTGGAGCTGCAGCCTGCATGGGTGGCCGTGGATGAAGTCTTTACAGTGAAGTGCCATGTGCCCAGTGTAGCACCCCTGGAGAATCTCACCCTTACCCTTCTCCAGGGTAACCAAGAACTACATAGAAAGAACTTTATGAGCTTGGCTGTGGCCTCCCAAAGAGCTGAGATCACCATCAGTGTCAAAGCACAAAGGAAGGACGACAGGTGCAATTTCTCCTGCTCTGCAGAACTGGACTTGAGTTCACGTGGTGGCGAGCTCTTTCATGCCAACTCAGCCATCAAGGTGCTCCGGAGCTTTGGTGAGTCAGAACTCAGGTGTGGAAGGAATCCTGAGGCTCATTTTCCTCATCTTACCTTGGCCTTCAAGACTGAGGTCCCACAGGGTTTGGGATGAGAGTGTGAGAGTAATTGAGCTCCACCTCTTCTTGGGCTTTAAACTCGCCCCGGGGGACAGAGAGCTTTTTGCCCCACTCCCTTCCTCATTGTGGGGTCCTATATGACATGATTTATCATGACTTTTCTCCTTTCTTTCCTTTTCCTCATTTCTTGGCAGAATTCTCTCAGCACCCCCAAATCTGGGTCTCTCCGCTTCTGGAGGTTGGGATGGCAGAGACTGTGAGCTGTGAGGTGGCTAGGGTGTTCCCAGCCAAAGAGGTCATGTTCCACGTGTTTCTGGGAGACCAGGAGCTGAGCCCCTTTCTCTCCTGGGAGGAAGACACAGCATGGGCCAATGCCACTGTTCGGGCCATGGAGACTGGGGATCAGGAGCTGTCCTGCCTTGTATCTCTGGGTCCGATGGAACAGAAGACAAGAGAGCCCGTGCATGTCTATAGTAAGTTACCGGCCTCTTTCCTTCCCCACTGAAAACTTCTACAGTAAAGGCTTTTGACTGCACACCTCCCTGCTAACCTTTACTAGGCACCCTCTCCAGTGAACAGTAGTCTTCATCTTTCTTTGATAAGTGCAGGCAGATGGGAGACACGCATTGAGACAGTTAGTTCTATCTAGCCTTCACCCTGTTTCCCTAGGCCATCCTACTTAGACAGCGATTGTGGATCCTTGAACTTGTTTCTAGGAACATTTACTGGAGCTGACGAAGAAATCTGTAAGGTGAAAAAACATCTTGCTATCCTTGCCGCAGAAACAGCCAAATGTGGGCATACTGCATTTGTTGTAGGAGAAGCTCTCAAATTCCCAAACCACCTCCCTGCTGCTGCCATTTGGCACAGAAGCAGTAATGGTATCCATAGCCTTTCCCCCTGGTGCCTGCTCACCCAGGGGATATCAGCAGCAAGAGTACAGGAGTGGCTGCCAGTTAGAGAAAAACGTTTGCTTCTCCTTTTCCTTTCCTTATAGGCTTCCCTCCACCAATCCTGGAGATAGAAGAATTATACCCATTGGCAGGGACAGACATTAATGTGACCTGCACAGGGCATGTGTTAACATCACCCAGCCCTACTCTTTGGCTTCAGGGAGTCCCAGACCTCCCTGCCCCCGGGGAGCCTGCCTGGCTTTCACTTACCACCAGGGAAGAAGACGATGGCCGAAATTTCTCCTGTGAGGCCTCTTTGGAGGTTCAGGGTCAGCGGTTCATCAAAACCACTACCATCCAGCTCCATGTCTTGTGTGAGTACAGGCCTGATCTTTCCTGTCCAAACAAAGATTATTATTCTCCCATTTCCAGAGGTCTTGGCAAGCAGCTTTATTATTAGAGTTGCCACATTTTTCTCATTAAAATAAAGTCAAGAGAAAAAGTAAAAGTAAAGCTCTCCAAGCTTACCTTACGCCCAGCAAAGTGAGTGGAGAGAAACCTGAGGGGAAGCTGAGACCAGAAAAGAGCAAATGGGTAAAGTGATCAGGCAGTTAGTTGAGGGCCAATGGCTGAGAACATAGGACGTGATAGTTGAAGTTTATGCTGAGGAAGTTTCCACATAAAATTTATATTTTGAAAAGTGGAAAAATTCTCCATCTCTGGGTTCACCACTACCCATGTTCTCACTCTCTGAGATGCAAAGATGGGAAGCAGGGGCCCCAGGGCTACCACTGACAGAACAGCCTGGTTGATTTAGTCAGAATCCATTAAAATGCACTACGCTACATCTCAGCATCCTTGCTCCTGGGGAAGGGAGGGGAGAAGGGGGGCTCAAAGCAGGGGACTGATGATCCTCCCCTGGGACAGCTTCTGAGTGGAGGGGACACAGCATTTGGATTAGGGGAGGGAGAGGTGAATGTGACAGTGAGGAGGGGATGTGGCACACGGAACTCTGGTCCCTGGTCCTTCGGAACTCTCTTCCAGATGAGCCACGGTTAGAGGAATCTGGTTGCCCTGGCAACCAGACATGGATGGAAGGGACGGAGCAGATGCTTGCCTGCATCCCAAGGGGAAACCCCACTCCATCATTGGTGTGTACCTGGAATGGAGTGATCTTTGACCTTGAAGTGCCACAGAAGGCCACCCAGAACCACACCGGAATCTACTGCTGCACAGCCACCAACCAGCTGGGCTCTGTCAGCAAAGACATTGCTCTCATTGTTCAAGGTGACTGTGACTCACCTGCTCCCAGGCCCAGAATGGAAATCCCCGAGGGCTTTGGGATTCTTACCAAAACATGGAAAGAAGAAAGATTTCAGTGGGCTGGGGTGGGTGAGACTGAGAAATGGGCTTGGTGGGCTGGGGTGGGGTGATTCTCTTGACCTCGAACCCTCCCAATTGTCTGTCTTCTGTGCTTGGTCAGGACTGGATGAAGGAAACAGCTCCACCATCTTCATCATTATTATCGTTGCCCTTGGAGTGGGTGTAATCATCATAGCACTGTATTTGAACTATCGACCCTGCAAGATGGAGAGGAGGAAATTGCCCTATAGGCAGAAAGAGAAGAACAAAGAGGAGGAAAGCCAGATTGCTGTTTGACAAGCAGAAAAATGTAACGCACACAGTTATTAAATAGAAACAGCTATTTGATTGAAGGTGACCTCTACTGCTGGGGTTTCCTTCAGGGAGAAAAGGGGGTAGAGGGGAAAGGAAGAGACATTATCCTTTGTGTTGTGCAGTCCCATAAAACAAGGGCTCAGACCCCCAATTGTCCTTTGTATCCAATCCATCCACAAGCTGTACTCCTCCGAGCTCACTCTAGTCACTAGGACTTTCAGTCTCAGTGTTCAGCCAGAGAAGGCCTCTTCTCCTTGCTCTATGCTTAAGCAGTCCACTCTTAGATTAAAAAACGAAGACCCTGCCCCTGCCTCCTCATCCCCATTACCACTGCCCTTTGCTCCCAAACATCAGTCTGAAGAGAGAGAAATGTCTCAGAAATGCAACTCATTTCTCATGGTTTCCTCATGACTAAGTGGGAACCCATTTCTTAGTCCAGAGACAGGACTTTGAAGAGAGTGAGTACCAAACAAAGGGATAGGAATTGGAGCCCTATTCCTGTCTACACATTTCCCTGCTCCTCTAACCTGGGGGTCTGAATGTCGGCTCTCAGACCTGAGCTTGATGACATCATTGAGGGTCAGTGGCTGGTTAGGCTTCAACTCACTAACCGTCTATTGTGTGCCTTGGAGGAGAATAAAAAGCATAAGAAATTCCACATTGGGTCAGACAGGCAGCTTACCTAGCCCAGTGTTGTGCCCTTGATGTGGAAGTTAGAGTTCTTCCATGAAATTGGCCTCATAGGTTAAAGATTCCAAACATCTCTGAATTCCTTCTCATAACTCATTATAGAGTAGTCCTCTCTAAGTTCACATTCGACATATTGTTTTTCACCTATACAGGCTCTTAGGGTAGAGTTCCAATGTTTATTCTCCCTTTCCATAAAGAAACATGTATTCTCATATGTCTGCAAACTATTTCCTTTAACCTTCAGGCGGGTTCCTCCAATGACAATGTTCACTGCGTGATTTTATGATTCAGCTCCCCTTTCTGTTCTTTGGAAAGAGAAGACATGAGGAATCATAAAAGCAGATCTTTTCTCCCAAATCAGTCACATATGGGTTACTGAAATGGTAGATATGGTAAAAATAAAAGTGATTTTATAATTTCTCAAAGTAGTCCTCATCTTTGTCATTGTCGAAAGCTTTTATTAAACCACATGGTTGCACTTTGAGTACAATTTCTAAGAAAAGAATGTCAAGTTGGCAGCATAAACCAGCCCAAGGCAGGTGACACATTAGCTCAGGGCAGCAGCCTGTTTGACTTGCTCTCAAAACTACAGTCCAGACTTCCAGATAGAGAGAGGGCCACAGAATTTCAAATTGTAGACACTAGCTAGAACACAGCATCAGGCATCGAAGGGAAAACATTCATTTTTTCCAGACCTTCCCTGAGTCAGGCTTATGGATTAGGTATAAAAATAACCCTTTGGTTTCAACACACACAAGGCAGTGGGGATATAGTCGGTGGTGGACAAAACACTACCCCTGCCTCCTACAAGCTTACAGTCGATGAGGGAAGCCAGAGCAAGTCAACAGGAAATTGCAATTGCGCCTTAACTCCTTGGACTGGGAAAGCGTAGGTCAGTGTAAGAACACCTAACTCAGGATCAAGGAAGGCTTCCCGGGAGGAGATTGGAAATAACCTTGTTTGATTTTGCAAAACGGCATCCTTCCAAAATTACCTTTCCGAGCTCAATTTTTCCACTAAATATAGTAGCCACTGCTCTCTCATTGTATAATATACATTACTCACTTTTCTGAATTTAGCATTTGGAGAATTAGGAAGCAGGTTTAAGAGAGAAGAGTACAGAGCAGTCTAATCCAGGAATCTCCAGCCATCTCAGTGTCTTCGGATCAGCAGCCGCATGTCTGGAATTAGTCTGCAAACCCCACTTTGGGGGCCCAGTGCCCTGAGGCACAGTGAATCCTAAACAGGAGGGAGGAAGGGTGTCATTCGGACTTTCAGGTTCCACCATGAAGAGCCCTGAGGCTTAGCCTCCTGCCTTTGCTTCTCACTGCCACATGGTGTCACTGTTGACAGATTGTCCTACACAGTCCATTGACTCTTGGGGTGGGCAGATCCAGGGCAGATCCAGGTTCTGGGTTGGCTGCCATGGATCTCTCAGGAGCTTGATCTGCTTCCTCAGGTCTTGGTCCAGCTAGGAACGACTTCTTTGCATCGGTTTCCAGGGTGACAGTTCTTAGAGCTCAGTACTTTAGATCAGCTGTCCAGCAAGGCTCTTCAGATTTGGGTAGGCTCCTCGGATAGACTTGAAAATTCTGTCCCCAAGGATCCACACAACCAGGGGTCCAGTGGCCCCTCCTAGTCAATTCTTGAAGCACAGAGGGTTTCATTACATCTCTTTTCCAGAATAATAGAGCTGGTCTCTGCCCACTCTTCTAAGGGTAGCCACCTTGTCTCCAGGGAGTTCCACACCCGAAAAGGTTTGGATTATGCTATTTTTCTGAACAATAGAGCAAACAGCTCACACTTAACTGCAGCTACCCTGTTTATCTTCAGGGGAAGAGACCTACCTTTCATATTCCATAAGTTTACCTTCTTAAGAAAGTCAAAGTAACTTTCTGGTGTCCTTGTTTTTAGACCAGAGGAAAAAAACAACTGTAATCATTAGTGGGGCTTCTTACTGTAGGAATTATAATTGTATTTACCTATTCTAGGATTATAGTTGGAAAGACATATAGTATTTGTAAAAACACTAGCTGGTGTTGTATACATGAATTTACAAGTATTAGCTTTTATTTTTATTTATTTATTTTCTTAAACTTTTTTTTTTTTTTTTTTTTTTTTTTTTTTTTTT